AACTTTCAGCTCAAGATAACAGGTGGCTGTGAACTGGCACATGAAGTATCGGGCTTCATACTCCCGAAGTCCAGCCCCCTTCAACCCTCCGCTCCTTCATCACCCACGGCCTCAACCATCGGCGGCTGAGCCTGCAACCTCTCCGCCCACAGACCTGTAAGCCATCCAAACCTTCAACCTCCACACCTCTAAGCTCTAGACCCATCATGAAACTTCCAAACCCCCAACTCCCCCAAATCTTAACCCCTAAAATGTAGAACCTCCAAACCTTCAACCCCCAAACCTCCAAACCCTGGACCCCTATGTAGAGTCAAACCTCCAACCACCAATCAAACCTCCAAACTAAACCCGCAGCCCATCCCCAACCCCAAAACATCTCAACTAACCCCTAAACCTGAAGCCTAGACCCTACACCCAAAAACTCTCATCCCGTGGCCTGCATTTGCAGTGGCATGTAGCTGCCCATGCCCGCCTTATGTACGGCGTTCTGGGGGCTGCAGGGCACAGGACTTTGAGGGGTTTAGGCTTTTCAAGTTTAGGGTTTAGGGTTGGGGGGGGTAGGGGGTTGAGCATTTGTGGGCATGTTCGGGTTCATGGTTGGGGGCTCTAGGCTTTGGAGTTTTGGGTCGCACGTTCGGGTGTGAAGGGTATGGGGTTCCGGCGTTTCGTGTTTAGGGTTGGGTTTCACGGTTCAGGGTTTAGGGGGAAGGGGTTGAGGGTTTCAGGGTCTCGGCCCACACCTGTGGATACGCTGCCGTTGGCGCCTGCCACCGCCTGAGCAAGTGAAGTTGAGGGTTGAGGGTTTGGGGTTTGGGGTGTGGGGCTTGGGGCTTGGGGCTTGGGGTTTGGAGTTCATGTTTTGGGGTTTGGGTTTTAGGGTTTCGGGTTTGGGGTGTGGGCTTTGGGTTTTCCTGCCAGCGTCAAATCGGAAGTGTCGGTTGAGTCCAAGGAACACATGTGGTGGGGCGCGCAGAGTAGTGCATCCAGACTAGTCCACAATGAAGACCACTTTAAGGCTTTAAGGGAACTTCCCCAAATAAAGGGGTCTTGGGCTCCCTGAGGTCCTGAGGTAGAGAAAACCTGAAATCGCATCTCCTAGACATCAAGGCCCCCCAGCAGCAAAAAGCTGCTGTGCCCTTCCGGTCTTTGGGGTTTGTTGGGGCAGCCTATGCTGCTACTGTTGTGCTCCAAACCCCTCCGAAGTAGCAGTTTTACCCCTACTACCGGCAGTCCATAGGGGGTTTACTACCCTTATGCCAGCAAAAAACGCGTGAATTATGTGAGGCGTTAACTAAAGCCAAGAATGGGCCCGCCGGTGCCGAATTCAGGGCTTTTAGGGCTGTGGCTTATTTGGGGCTTAGGAGGGTTTCGGGCTTAGGGTTTAGGGTTGTTTAGGGTTGACACGGGATTAGGGTTGCCGTGCCTGAGGGTGATCTCAATTGTTTTCTCCGCGCTGCTCTCAACCATCTTCCGAGACCTCAAGAGGATAGAGCTGGTGGTGTTACCCTTCTACTAACAGTCCTTCATAGGGATTTTAGTACCCCCCCCCATTACTAGGAGGGCCCTTAAAGCCCTCTGAAAATGTTCCTGAATATGATCCTCTTAAACCAATAAGGGAACATATAAAATATCCCAAGGGCCTGCCTAGATTATAATCACCACGAAGGACTGTTAGTATAAGGGGGAGCATCCCCAAGTTGAGAGTAGAGGGTTCAGAGGGCTTGGGGTTCCCCTCAGCCCTAAACCCTAAACCCTAACCCCAAAAAGCTTGTCACAGCAGCGTCTCAGGCCAGAACCATGTTCCATTCGGACGCAAGTCGTAGATCTCCTCTTTGGGTTTAGGGTTTAGGGTGTAGGGGTGTAGAGCTTAAGGTTTAGGGTTTAGGGTTAGGGATTAGGATTTAGGGTTAGGGTTTAGGGCTTAGGGCTGAAAGATGTAGGGTTTAGGAGTTAAGGTTTGTGCGGGCGTAAAAGAAAAATCTGGGTAAAGGTAGGGGTGTCACCTAAATCCCTCCCCCCGCCAAAAAAAACGAAAACTCAACCCGAAACCCTGAAGCTAAACCCGAAACCCTAAGCCCTAAACCCTAAACCCTAAACCCTAAACCCTAAACCCTAAACCCTAAACCCTAAACCCTAAACCCTAAACCCTATCTGAGCACCTCCAGGTTCGGAGCGCCGAGGGCCATGAACTCCTCTGGGAAGCGCCTCTCCAATTTGGGGGGTTCAGGGCTTAGGGCTTACTTGGAGATTTAGGGTTTAGGGTTTAGGGTTTAGGGTTTGGGGTTTGGGGTTTGGGTTGGGGTTTGGGTTGTAGGGCTTAGGGTGTCTCATTGAGGAGGCGCGCGCCCCGAGCGGTGTGTCCCCAACCCCCCGCTTGCGCTCTACCCTCGTCTTGACCGACCTTTGAGGGTTTAGGGTTTAGGGTTTAGGGTTTAGGGTTTAGGGTTTAGGGTTTAGGGTTTTAGGGTTTAGGGTTTAGGGGTTCCCTTGTGTTGACGACATCAGTCTGGTGTTTGGGCAGGCTCTAAATCTCGGCGAGATCCCTCACCTACCGGCTTCGGTGCGGTCGCCCTGGCTCGACGGCCCAGGCTCAGCTTAGGGTTTAGGGTTTAGGGTTCGGGTTTAGGGTTTAGGGTTCGGGTTTAGGGTTTCGGTTAGGGCAATTGCAGCTGCGGGTGGCGTAGAAGCCTCGGGGAGCTTCGGTGGGTGGATGAAGGGAGGGGGGGGGGGTTCTCTCTACGGCTTCGGGAAAGGGGGAAACCTGTTGGGGGGAACGACATGACACCGGAAAGGGCTTCGGGTTGAGGGTTCAGGGCTTGGGCTTTAGGAGGGTCCATACTACGTTCATTCGCATGGGGCAGATGAACACAATGTTAGACTTGGCGGTGTTTGTTTGACTGGCTGGGCTGGTCGCCGTAGGGCTCAAAGGGCCTGCACCATACACGGATCTTCGGTGAAGATGATTGTGGTCTGGTAAGCCCCAAAATCCTTCCAGGCCCTAAACAGTCCCTAAACCGTCTCCGAGTTGCTAAGGCCTCCTCCACCCTAAAGATCTAAATGCAGTTGAGGGCGGGTTAACTAGATAAACTAAAGGATATAGGGTTTAGTGCTTGGGCTCTAGGATTGAGGGCAACCACAACGAAACTTGACTAAGACGAACACCCTAAAACCCTCAAAAACTCTGTTAACGGTTGGCCAGAAGCCGTAGTCCACCAAGAAAATGCCCGAAAAGCCCTAAAGCCCCCAAACCCTGAACCCTAAACCCTAAACCAAAAAAAAAAACCAAACAGCCCCAGAGCCCGGCCGCAGAATGTTCTCCGCGTAGATTTGAAGCTCCGGGGGTAGGACCATGTCCGCACGGGCCTTTCTGCGAGAGTTTAGGTTTAGGGTTCAGGGTTCAGGGTTTAGGGATTAGGGTCCGCAGGGTTTAAGGGTTTAGGGTTTAGGGAGGCTTGGGATGATTTGCTTTGGGAGCGTGGGGGCCGAAAATCCCGTCCCAGGCTTGACACAGTAGATCCAAAACCTCATGTCGGCCCCAAGAGCAAGGGTTAGGGTTCCAGGATTTAGGTTTTTTCGGCTTCGGGTTGTCGAGCTCCTTTAGAAGCCTCAATGCTGAGCGCTGAGACGCGCGCGCGTCCGCGGGTAACGCGGGGGATGTCTCCAAAATCGGTTTTCGGCCAGGTGGATGTCAAGGAAAGGGCGCCACCCCCAAGAAAACGCAACACCTTTGGAGGAAAGATAGCCCTGGTAGCTCTGTCTTCTGCGCTTGCTCGTAGCGATGCCTTGCAGGTGAGCTGACAGCATCCATCACTGAAGCTGAGCCAAAAGCGGCGTAGGAAGCTCCATGGTCGAACCCCCTACTTGGAGGTTCCTGGGTACTTAAGTAGGCTTGTAAGTAGGGCAATCATGGTTCTACCCTTACTTAGGGCACTTGCAACCCTACTTATAAGTACCCATGAACCTCCAAGTACCTTCCTGAAGGGCCTAGATAACCGTGGTTTCGAGCTGAGCAACCTAATTCCACTAAGGGGATCATATAAGGGGTGTCCGAAAATGGAGATACCCTTCCTTTCATGGGGATGTGGAATAGAATCCCAATTGAAGAATGTGGACAATGACCCTCTTTGTATCAGTTGAGTCTTCGGGGTAAGAGATGGCTCTTTTTCCCGCGGAGATCTCGCGCTCTCTTGGCACGTGTGGCATCCATGGCATCCATGTGCCCGTCAGCCAGAGCCGGCATGGGCTTAAGGGGCCTCTGTAGCCGTAGCCGAAACCCTGAAGCCCCACACTTCCGAACACCACCCCAAACGTCCGGAGACTAGGCGGGAGCGGGCGTCGCAAAGCTGGGGCTGAGCCGAGGCAGGAATCCTGGCGCCTTGGCTCTACCGGTGGATTGGGTCGGGCTCAGACAGCGCTGTGACCTGGCAAGGGAGATACATGGGGGAAAAAAGACCCCGGAATAAAATCCCAAATGGTAGGATTCCCTTCTTTACAAGGACCCGCAGAAGGTACCCCTAGTTTCGGAAACCCCCACATAAAACCCCTCAACTTCAGAATTTATGGAGCTCCAGTACTAGAAGCCTTTGTGAGGGGGGAACCCTTTACAAACTCTCTCAGCATCCCAAAAAACCCTCTGCTGGGCATAGATGCAGGGGCTACGCCCAGAGCTCACAGCGGCCATGTGGCGTGCTTTTGTCCCTTGCATCTGCTGCGTGAGCAGTGAAGGCATAGCATCTTCATCCTTTGGCCGTTTTGCGGCTTCGGATTTAGGGGGCACTGTCGGGTCACTGAAGAGGATTTGGGGGTTCAGCACAGACCCGGCTTGTCAGGGACAGCGCCTGAAAGCTGGGCGTTGCAAAGGTCAGCGCCAATCTGCTCTGTAGATGCTGGCATGCTGCCAGCTTACGCCGAAGCACAGCATCTTCTTGATGCTTGGAAAGCTGGTCGAAGTCACTTCGAACTGCTATATACCAGCTGAAACACCCCTAAAAGGTGGCATCCTAGGCCTTTTCATCCGGAAGCTGGGCCGCCTCGGCGGGAGGCGCAAGCCGGGAGTTGATGTAGACGATGGCGCGGTCGGTGACCAGCCAGGACCTTCTCGCGTTGGTGTGCGCGTTTTCTGCGTTGTGATCAGGTTGGGGCTCTCTGTCACGCTCAACTCTGTCACACTCAACTACGGCACCATGTCGGGTGTGATGTGGCATGCCCGGTGCTTGGCGGCGGCATGTGCTGGCATGTGCTGGCATGTGCTGGCATGTGCTAGCGTGTGTGTCTCTTGCGGCCGAGGCGCACCAGGATCAGCAGCACGCAGAGCCCGAAGGAGAGGCCCGGGCCCCAGCCATGCACCAAGTTGGGAATCAGGGCGGCCAGGGCCGGGCCGGGACAGATGCCCACCAGGCCCCAGCCCAAGCCGAAGAAGACGGCCCCCAAGACCAAAGAGCCGTAGTTCCCGGTCTTGGAGGGCTTTTCGAAGGAGCAGTCCTCTCCACAGAGGGGCTTCCGGCCCTCTCTCTCCGCAATCCTCAGCTTAACTGCGAATGAATGTGCTCTACCCTCTCTTTCATCACTCAAAGGGCTTCACAAGATACAGAAGAACACATGATGCTAACCCTAAACCCTAAACCCTAAACCCGAAATATGCACCCAGAAGTCAGAAAGGCCGGGAAGGAGATGCAGAGCCCCAGCCCCATGACGAACGCCAGGCTCGGATCCCAGGTCCCCCCGAAGTCCAAGAAGTCCAAGACCTGGACCCCGAAGATGAGGGTTTGGGGTTTGGGGCTTAGGGTTTAGGGTTTAGGGTGTTTTTTTAGGTTTAGGGTTTAGGGTTTAGGGTTTACGGTTTACGGTTTAGGGTTTAGGGTTTAGGGTTTAGGGTTTAGGAGGGTTTAGGATTTAGGGAGGCTTGGGAGGATTAGCTTTGGGAGCGGGGGAGGGAAAGGATTTTACCCAAGCTACTCGAAAATCCCGTTCAGGGTTTCGGGTTTGGGGTTTGGGGTTTAGGGTTGGGGGATGTTGGGGGGTTATAAGGGCTAAGGGCTTATGTTGGGTTCAGGGTTCTTGCGGCCCTGTACTCACTTTGTGCTGAATGAGGGAGGGGGTTAGAGTGTGTAGCGCTTATCATCCCAATGCTCGCACTCGTTGAGTATGGCCTTTGCTTGGTTGGTCATTCCAGCCACACCCAAGCCAAGGCCGAAGATAATACCACAGACGGCCGGCGACACGAAGCTCCGAGGCTTGGAGGGGAGGAACACCGCTAGCAGGGTCAGCGCCAAGCTAGACAAAGCCGCCGCCAAAGGGAACTCCCACTTGGGAGGCCACTGGAGCTCGGCCACTTGCCAGGGACCGCTGGGATCCACCTTGCTTGCGTGCCGGGTCACGGCCACGGTCGCCGCCGCGAGGCCCATGAAGGTGGGCACGGCAATCCAGCTGCGGAGGGCCAGGCGGGGCAGGCCGCAGATCCCGTGCCCGGAGGTGCAGCCTCGAGATGCAGGTAAGGAAGACCTGCACACCCCACCGACTGCACACCCCCCACCCCGCAGCTCCTCCGAAGGTCAACCAACTGATATACTTGGCTTATCATTTTGCACCCGCAATGCCCGCAATGCCCGCAAAGCACCCGCTACGTACACCCGCTATATTCACCTGCTCTTTTCACCCGCTACGGGCCTCGGCCGGCGCGGGTGCCCATGCCGACGAAGACGCCGCCCAAGCAGTACCTCAACACCGAGATGTCCAAGGCCGGCGGGTAAGCGAAGTCACGATTGAAGGCCAAGTTCACAAGGCCGCCAAGCACCAAGCCGAGGAGGAAGAGTGCCTTCCAAAGCTGGCTATCCTTCATCGGCTCGCCCCTGCCCACACCCCGCAGGAAGGGCCCCACGATGCCGCTGATCCCGGTGATCTTCCCGTCCCCGAGGTACGCGAGAGCAGCCGACAGGCCGATCAAGAGGCCGCCCACACCAGACTCAATGGGGGTGAAGGCCATGGGAGCGGATGCGACTCGCAAGCTAAGGCCGCTACGCCCCGATCTTGATACTGATGCAGATTGCGCCTGCGGCGCGCGCCAAGTGACACGTGTTGCATATGCAGCAATGGCATGTGTGTGCCGCTGCCATTGGGTGCGAATGTTCATCACCGAAGATGCATTTCTCGCTGGCAAGGTCCTAAGAAATGACCCCATTAAGGGGTTGTAGAGGGGGGGGGTACCCAATTCTCTAATGTCCCACTGAGAGCGAGCAAGAGTATGTGTTTTCATACTCCGCCAACCCCAAGGCACACCCCTAGAGGGGCAAGTGAGCACCTTCTCCGCCACACCGATGGATTGCTTTGCTGCGCCAGTGCCACCTCCCGTGCACTTCTGGGGGACAAGGGTTTAGGGGTTAGGTTTAGGGTTTAGGGTTTAAAGGGATTATAGGGTTTAGGGTTTAGCAGTTTCAGGCTTTGGGGTTTGGGGTATGTTTGGGTGTAGTGTTGAGGGTTTAGGGCTGGTCGCGCGGGCTGACGGCTTAGCGCCTCGGGCTCTGATGTTCTTTCGGATTGAAGGGAAGGAGTGCTGAAGCCCTACAAACCTGAACCCTAACCCTGACTGAATCTCTCAACAATCCTCCCAGACGCCCACAAGTACCCTTGAAGATCTCCCCGAATTCCCCCGAAGCCCTCCGCAAAAGCCCTCCGAATCCCTCTGTTCAGGGGTGCACTCAGACCCCCTAAACCCTAAACCATAAACCCTAAACCCTAAACCCTAAACCCTAAACCCTAACCCTAAACCCTAAACCCTAAACCCTAAACCCTATTCTTGGGTGTTCGTACTTGTAAGTAGGGGTTGGGATGTTCCCCCTTACCTCTACTTGGAGGTTCATGGTACTTCTTAACCAATTATCATTGTACTTGTACCTGTACTTATAACCATATTAGCGGACTTAAGGGGCTTGTAAGTGGGTTATAAGCACAGTAAGAATTGGTTCAGAAGTACCATGAACCTCCAAGTATGCCCTGCAACCAAGACCGCAACTCTTCCAACAGACCACCTCAATGCTTGGAGGGACAAGAAGAAAGGTTAAGGGTTGAGGTTTAGGATGTAGGAAGTTTAGGGTTCAGGGTTTAGGGTTCAGGGTTCAGGGTTTAGGAATTTGAGGAATTTGAGGAATTTGAGGAATTTGAGGAATTTGAGGAAGTTGAGGAATTTGAGGAAGCTGAGTAAGTTTGGGGCTTAGGAGACCTCGGCCCGGTGTGCAGCCCTGCGGAGACGCAGCGCCTTTTGATGAGGGCTTCGGAGGGTGCACACGGGCGCAGTTTAGTGTTTAGGGTTTGGGGTTTGGGGTTTAGGGTTTAGGGTTTAGGGTTTGCGGTTTTGGGGTTAGGGTTTAGGGTGTAGGGCTTAAGGTGTTGGAAGGGATTGCACGGGAAGGAGGGTTTCATGCGGTGTACCAAGGGTTTGTTAGAGGTTTCCAAAGGGCTGGTGGCAGGGCTCAGGGCCGAGGGTTTAAGAAGTTTAGGGTTTAGGGTTTTGGGTTTGGGTTTAGGGTTTAGGGTTTAGGGTTTAGGGTTTAGGAAGTTTAGGGTTTTGGGACTTAGAAGGGCTTGGGAAATATCATCGAAGTGTTCCAGGGCCCTAAACCCTAAACCCTAAGCCCACTAAACCCTTTCTCTTTTTGAATGGATCTTCTACAGCTTGGAAGGGCACACTGAAGGGGGCTTGTAGAGAAAGTGAGGTCCCAGGAGTCCTACATTCAGCACTTGGGCCTTGCTAACTTTGGGGCTTACCCTTCCCGAAGACCCACACCCCAAAACCGAACCCCTTAAAACCCTAAAACCACACAAACTCTAATTCCTAAGCATCCCTAAACCCCGAAACCCCAAAGTCGAAACCCCAAAAAACCAAAACCCTAAACGCAAAACCCGAAACCCTAGACCCCAAACCCAACACCCTGAAACTCCCAAACCCCAAAGCCTGAAACTGCCAAACCCTAAACCAAACCCTAATTAAACTCCCAAACCTCAAAAAAATCCCCAAACACCAAAAAAACCCAAAACCCCAAAAAAAGCTCCCCCAAACCCTCAACGCACATCTTTCTCGGGCTCCCCCACTACCCGCTGCTGCTGCGCGGCCCGCCGGCGCGCCTGGCCCACATGAGGCCAGCGGCTGCTCTGGGTTCAGGATTCAGGGTCTGGGGTTCGGGTTTATTGTTTGGGGCTTGGGGTTTGGAGTTTAGGGTTAGGGGTTTGGGGTTTTTTGGGGTTCGGGGCCCTAAAACCCTGAAAGCGTATAAGTATTGAAGCTTAAAAAAAGAGAGGACTTATGTCTGCCCATATATACCAGTGTTGAGCCGCCCGAGACCGTAGATCTTCAACCTTATACAAGGCAGTGAACGTATGCTTATAGCATAAACCCTAAACCCTAAACCCTAAACCCTAAACCTAAACCCTAAACCCTAAACCCTAAACCATAAACCCTAAACCCTAAACCGCACTGAACCCACCTCCACATCGGCACTCCTGGCCGCCCTCTCCAGCCGGACCTTTTCGGGAGCTTTGGAGAAGAAACCGACCCTAAGCCCTAAACCCTGAACCCTAAACCCTAAACCCTAAGCCCTAAACCCTAAACCCTAAACCCTAAACCCTAAACCCTAAACCCTAGAGCGGGCGGGGGGGGAGTTCAGGAGGTTAGGAAGTTCAGCAGGTTTTGGGGGTCAGGTTTGATGATTTGGGTCTTTGGGTGAGACTTCCCAGGAAAGTATAAACTGCACTGAACTTGGAACCCTAGCAAAAATTACAATGTTAGCTATTTCTTAGGAATTAAAGTACGTACCCAAGAATTACAAATTCTTTTCAAGTACCCCTAAGTAAAAGGGTCTAGGCCGCAGGTTCAAGGTCTTCGGTTTCGAAACCCTGAAACCCTAAAGCCATTTCAAGGAGGTCAGAGAATGCAGGGGAAGGAGCCGTTCTCAGAGTTAAGGGCTTCGGAAAATTTCTGTGTTTAGGGCTTAGGGCCTAGGAAAGTTCAAGTTGTAGGCTTCATGAAGACTAAGCAGCTCAGGGATTCCCACGTGCGGCCCTTAGTTGATTCCGCTATCGAAAATACCCAAGGTAGGACTTCGAATTTAGGGGGGCTCCGAGATTCTGCGGTTTGGGGTTCGGGGATGAGGGGTCTAGGGCGCAGCCCTAAACCCTAAACCCTAAACCCTAAACCCTGAACCCCCAGGGTCGACAGGGCTTGAGGGCTTAGTGGACTGGGCGCCCTGCGCGCCGCGACGACGCATAGTTGGCCTCGGCTGCAGCGATCGCAGCTTCGGCCTGCCAATTTTAGGGTTTAGGGTTTAGGGTTTAGGGTTTAGGGTTTAGGGTTTAGGGTTTAGGGTTTAGGGTTTAGGGTTTAGGGTTTAGGGTTTGTGGTTTGGGGCTTAGGGTTGAGGGTTGAGGGTTTAGTGTTTGGGGTTTAGGGTTGGGGGTTGAGATTTGGTTTGGGGTTTAGGGTTGAGAGGGTTTGGGGCTGAGGGTTTGGGAGAGATTAGGGCGAAAGATTTCTGGGATGAGGGTCAGGGGCTTCTGGCTTAGAGCTTAGAGTTCTAGCTTTCGGCGTAAATCCTTGCCATAGACACTGAAGAGCTTGCTGCTGAAGGGTTTAGGACTGAAGGTTTTTGGTGGCTCCGGAGATGTTGGGTTTAGGGTTTAGGGTTAGGGGTTAGGGTTTAGGGTTTACAAGGTTAGAGGGTTTAGGGTTTAGGGTTTAGGGTTTAGGGTTTAGGGTTTAGGGTTAGGGTTTAGGGTTTAGGGTTTAGGGTTTAGGGTTTAGGCTTATGGTTTAGGGCATTCGGGGCTCGCATGCCAAGCCCTGAACCGGTTTAGGGCTCTGGGCGGGTTAACCCTCAACCCTCAACCGATGGAAAACCAGGGTTAAGGGCTTGGGGTTTAGGGTTCAGGGTTTAGGGTTTCGGGTTTAGGGTTTAGGGTTTGGGGTTTAGGGTTTTGGGTTTCGGGCTTCGGGTTTAGGGCGGGGAACCGCAATTCCTCTGACACCCCCGATTTCGGCATGATCATAAGCAAGCCCAAACCCCTCAAACCCCGGATTCCCCGAACCCTGAACCCCTGAAGCCCTAAACCCTAAACGCCAAACCCCAAATCTCAACCCCCAACCCTAAACCCCAAACTCTCAACCCTCAACCCTAAACCCCAAAGCCCACCCCCCTGGCAAGCCGAAGTGCCGCTGCGGCCACCTATGCGTCCCGCAAACCCTAAACCCTAAACCCTAGACCCTAAACCCTAAACCCTAAGCCCTGCAAACCCTAAACCCTAAACCCTGTAAGCCCTGTAAACCCTGTACACCCTAAACCCTAAACCCTAAACTCCGTAAACCTTGAACCCCAAGGACCTCGTGCTCCGTTCGGCTGAAGGACCGCCACCGCTTCCGCGGGCGCTCGGCCGTCAGCCTGGGCAGCTCATGGCTTTTAGGGTTTTTGGGGCTTTTGGGGCTTTTGGGGCTTTTAGGGTTTAGGGTTTAGGGTTTAGGGTTTAGGGTTTAGGGTTTAGGGTTTAGGGTTTAAGGTCTTAAGGGCTTTTAGGGTTTTAAGGGCGTTTAGGGTTTCGGTTTCTAGGGCTTTGAGGGTTTTAGGGTTTAGGGCTTAGGGTTTAGGATTTAGGGCCTTCGGGTTTAGGGCTGAGGGTTTAGGGTTTAGGGTTTCGGGCCGCAGGGCGTTAGGGATTTAGGGTTTAGGGTTTAGGGTTTAGGATTTAGGGCCTTAGGGATTTAGGGGTTTAGGGTTTTAGGGTTTCGGGCCGCAGGGCGTTAGGGTTTTTAGGGTTTAGGGTTTGGGGTTTTGGGTGTAGAGCTTCAGGGTTTAGGGTTTAGGATTTAGGATTTAGGGCTGTTGGGTTTTAGGGTTTCGGGCCGCAGGGCGTTAGGTTTTTTAGGGCTTAGGGTTTGGGGTTTTGGCTTCAGGGTTTAGGGTTTAGGGTTTAGGGTTTAGGGTTTAGGGTTTAGGGTTTAGGGCCTTAGAGCTTTAGGGCTTTAGGGCTTTAGGGGTTTTCGGCCTATAGAGCCTTCGGATTTAGGGTTCAGGATTTAGGGCTCTAGGGTTTTAGGGTTCTAGGGTCTGCGATCTCGTGTTTTTGTTGCTTGGGGTTTGGGGCTTAGGGTAGGCTTGGGTTTGGAGTTTGCCAGACTTTGGTGATTGGGCAGCGCCAGCTTGGTCTTATGGCAAAGTTTATGGCAACTTCAAGGCCTGTAGACCTCAAAACCCCAATCCCTGAAGCAAGTTGCCTCAAGCCACCGGGAAAAAACCCTAAACCCTAAACCCTAAACCCTAGACCCTAAACCCTAAACCCTAAACCCTAAACCCCCACCCTCAACCCTCGCACTGCAACTCCACAAAGCATTGCCTTGGAGACTTAACCCTCAGGGCCGAATGCCTCCAAACCCTCCATCCTAAACTCCCGAAACAACCCTAAACCCTAAACCCTAAACCCTAAACCCACCATGAACCTTTCGGCCAAGGGAAAAGAATGCCCTAGGACCACCAACATCAGGTTTTAGCGTTCGGTTTCGGGCTTAGAGTTTCATCATTAATTCGACTTTAGGCTCAGGGTTTAGGGTTTAGGGCAGGATTGTTGGGGAGGGCGTCTGGGCAGTAGGGTTTCGGGTTCAGGGCGAGGCTTTAGGGATTTCTTGTATAGCCGCCTGGTTGGGACGCAAGGCAGACACCATGCTCTTGCGCCCCCCACCCCCAGAAAAAAAAAAAAAAAAAACGCTCCTAGCTGAGGGTTTAGGGTCTAGGGTTAGGGTTTAGGATTTAGGGTTTAGGATTTAGGGTTTAGGGTCTAGGGTTTAGGGTTCAGGGTTTAGGGTTCAGGGCTTCCCATCATCACGGGAAGGCATCTTCCGCAGAGAGCCATCGCGCTGCTAAGCCCATACACCCTAAGACTTGTCACTCCTGGTAATCCCTAAACCCCAAGAACCATGCCCAAAACGCGACCGGCAAACTTTTGAAGCAACTACTCAGCCATCCTCACACAAGCGGCAATCGTGGCTCCGTAGGTCACTTCATCCGGAGTGAGCTGACCTGCCTGCATGCTTTGGAACAGCTGCAAGACGAGCTGCCATTCCTATACTGGAATTGGGAGACTCTTGATCCTAAACCCCTTAAACCCCCTAAACTGTAAACCCCCAACTCCTCTTTCAATGTGAGCCGTTGCGTTTATATCGGCGAAGGCTAGACACCCTCTCTGCAAATTCAAAGCAGTGCAACATCAAGAGTCAAAACTGTCTGGTTTAGGGTTTAGGGTCTGGTAACCCTAAACCCGAAACCCGAAACCCGAAACCCTAAACCCTAAACCCTAAGCCCTGAACCCTGAACCCTAAACCTTAAACCCTAAACCCTAAACCCTAAACCCTAAACCCTAAACCCTAAACCCTAAACCCTAAACCCTAACCCTAAACCCTAAACCCTAAACCCAGTCTTCAGCGAGTTGGAAGCAAAAACCATTTCCAGATCAGCCCCAGGCTCGCTACATGCAGCGCAGGCGCTGATCGTGGAGTTAAAACTGATCACGTCGTGTGCCTGCTGTGCTGAGGGCATGTCTTGGAACAGCTGCAAGGCACGCTGCCACTCTTTGGCCTTCTCGCAAGCACTGATCGTAGCATTGTAGCTGATGAGGTCAGGTAGCAACTCAGCTGCTTGCATATCCGACAGGCACTGCAAGGCTGTGTGCCACTCCTCACCCTGCCCACACGCGGTGATCGCGGCGTTGAAGCTGATCACATTGGGCGCAACTCTGACGACCTTCATGCTCAGAAGAAGGTGCAGCGCCCTCCACCACTCTCCACCTTTTTCACACGCACTCATTGCCGAGCTGAAACTAATCACATCATGAGCAAGCTTGACCAAGCCCATGTCCTCAAGTAAGTGGATGGCAATGTGCCATTGACCACCTTTCTCACAGGCACTTATGGCGGCGTTGAAGCTGATGACATTTGCCTGCACCCTGGCCGTGCGCATCTCAGTCAGCAGCTGCATCGCCATCTGCCACTGCGCAGACTTCTCACAGGCACTCATGGCTGAGCTGTAGATGATTACATCAGGTGACAGCTGTGCCTATACTCTCCCTAGAACCTTGATAAAAAAAAACACTATTTTCAATATCCTCTTGGGTTTTATACGAACAAAAATAAAACAAAAATGATTCCCAAGGAGGATAGAGGTGCGTCGGGCACCTTGTAAAAGAGCTCCAGGGCCTCCTCGGACTTCTGGGCTCTCTCGCATGCAGTGATCAGGGAGCTGTAGGTGATCAGATCCGGATGCAAGCCTGCTTCGGGCATCAGGCCAAACAGCTTCCGGGCCAGCCGAAGTTCCCCGCCCGCGGCGCACGCCCTGATTGCGGCATTGCAGCTGACGACGTTGCATCTGATCTCGGCTTGCTGCATCTCTTTGAGATACTCCAGGGCCAGTTGCCAAGGCCCTTCGCCCTCCAAGGCACTGATCACCTGACCGTAGCTCACCACGTCAGGCGTCAGCCGTCCCGCAGAAATGGCATCGAACACTCGGAGGGCAATCTGCCAGGCACCGTCGCTGGCGACGCTGATCGCGGAGCTGTGACTAAACAGATCAGGCTTAAGCTTGGCTGCCGGCATGTCATGGAAACACTGCAAGGCAGCTTGCCAGTCCGACTCCTTCTCGCAGACTCTGATCACCTGTGAGACTTTGCTGGTTTAGGGTTTGGAATTTAGGGTTTCGGGTTTAGGGCTCGAACTCCTGGGAGGGGGGGGGGGAGGAGGGGGGGAGGGGGGAGGGGGGGGGGGGTGGGGAGGGGGAAAGGGGAGGGGGGGAGGGGGGGGGGGGGGGGGGAGGGGGGGGGGGGGGGGGGGGGGAGGGGAGAGTGTTAAACTCAACTATTTTGTTTCCATGTAAAAGCAAAACAATTATTCTAGTTAGTGTTTGTTGTTCAATTTTACCAATAACAAACGTAAGCCAGAATAAGCAAAAGCTTTCAATTCAATATACTTTTCAAACAAAGCACATATTTCCAAACTTACAATTGTATTCAACCATGAAGGACCAATTCTAAGCATTGAGATCCTGCTTGGCTGTTTGGGGCCCTTCTTAGACCCCAAGTTACCCGTAGGACTCAATAAAGAAGACTTCAACAAGGACTTAGGTTTAGGACTCACATGGAAGTGACCTAACAAGGTAATAGACAAAGATACACTCCTGGTTCACCTACCTACACGACGTATCCATGAACGCCTAAACCCTAAATCCTAAACCCTAAACCCTAAGCCCTAAACCCTAAACCCTAAACTCTAAACCCTAAACCCTAGTGGTGCTACGAGTGGGCCCTCTGGGTTCATGTCGCCCCAGGCACGGAGCTGTGGCTGATGACGTCACGTGCAACCCGGGCAGCTGGCATCTCCGCAAAGAGCTGCAGACAAAGCCTCGCTTGGTTAGGGTTTAGGGTTTAGGGTTTAGGGTTTAGGGTTTAGGGTTTAGGGTTTAGGGTTTAGGGTTTAGGGTTTAGGGTTTAGGGTTTAGGGTTTAGGGTTTAGGGTTTAGGGGTTTAGGGGTTAGGGGTTAGGGGTTAGGGGTTAGGGGTTTAGAGTTTCGGGGTTAGGGATTTAGGGTTCAGGGTTTAGGGTTTAGGGGTCTAGGGTTTAGGGGTTGTGGTTTAGGGTTTGGGCTTCGGTTTAGAGTAAGGGCGGGGGGTTCCAATTGAGGCGTATCCTTGTTGGATAGAATATTTGGGTGGTATATCAAGGGCAACCCCCGTGTTGGGAAACACCAGAGAATTCCTAAGAGGACCCTGAAGCCACGAAGGGCTTTAAGGCTTTCGGGCGCCGCAAGGATCCTAACCAAGTCTAAGTCCAAGGCAAAGCCAATCCTAAACCCTAAACCTGAACCGCAAACCCTAAACCCCAAACCCTAAACCCTAAGCCCTAAGCCCTAAACCCAGATCCTCTTAAGGCCTTGCCAAGGCGCTGCCACTGCCGGCCTCGGTCGCAAGCACCGATGGCCGAGTTCCAGCTGATGACGTTCGGACGCAGGTTGCCTTTTTACTAACAACCCTAAACCCTAAACCCTAAACCCTAAGAATATAGGGCCCTATGTATGTACCCTTTAAGGGCTTGTATAGGGTCCTATATATACCTATATAGAGGTACCTCATTCACATTCCCTAGCACAAATTATGACTAACTTGGGAACCCCTAGCACGAATTATGACGTTAGCTGTTTCTTAGGAGTTCAGCTGCCCCAAAATTTAATTCAAAAAAAAAACGATTTCCAAGTATCCCGAAGTTGCCAGGCATGTGGGATAAGAGCTGCAGGGCAAGCTGCCACTGCCGGGCTTGCCCACAGGCCTTGATGCAGGCGCTGCAGCTGCTCAGGTGTGGGACCATCCTGCCCTGCACCGCCTGACATCTCAGGAAGGGTTTCAGGGCTTAGGGTTTTAGGGTTTAGGGTTTAGGGTTGAGGGTTGAGGGTTTAGGGTTTGGGGTTTAGGGCTTAGGGAGTCAGCTGTTCTGAACTCGAAGCTGGTCTGTTGCGAGGTGCCCCAAATACACATAGGTCCATCCCAGCTCTCATCAAACCCTGAGCCCAACAAGCCCGAGAAGCTTCAAACCCTACAAACCCCAGCAGCCCTGTAAAACCCGGGTCAATACCTTTAAAGCTCGTGAAAACCTACAGATCCTTTTAACTCCATGTATAACCCCTATTCACCCTAAACCCTGAACCCTAAAGTCCACAAACTCTACAAACCCCAATTTAGTGTAAACCCTAATCACCCTAACCCCTGAACCCACAACTCTGTACACCTGAAGCCCTGAAACCTTCGAAGGGCGCGAGGGTGTCGGGGTTGTGCGGTTGGGATTTAGCTGATGCTGTGTCGGGATGGAGGTCAAGTGCTCTCTGTCTTAAGGCTTTAGGGTTTAGAGTTTAGGGTTTTGGCGGCCCAACCTCGAACAGCACAGATACGGCTGCCTGCCATTGCAGCCTCTTGGCCAAGACGCCCAAGTGAAGCTCCTGGCCACGTCGGATTTCTAGCGATGCAGCGGTTTAGGGTTTAGGGTTTAGGGTTTAGGGTTTAGGTTTAGGGTTTAGGGTTTAGGGTGTAGGGTTTAGGGTTTAGGGTTTAGGGTTTAGGGTTTAGGGTTTAGGATCTAGGGTCTAGGGTCTAGGGTCTAGGGTTTACGGTTTAGGGTTGAAACCCCCTGCAAGCCCCATAATGCCTGAAGCCCTATCTCAAGACCCTTGACAAGCCATGGAGCCATTGTAGCCCAAAATCCCTGAACCCCAAGACGCTACAAAACTTCACAGACCTTTCAAACACTGAGCCCCAGAATTGCAAACCCCCTACACCTCGACCATACAGCCAGAGAAACCTAAAACTCTAGCCCCCCCTTAAAACAATAACAAAACTAAACCCCCGAAAAGCGAGTCGCCCTGTGAGCGGAGGGTTTTGCAATTAGGGTTCAAGTATTTGGGGGTAAAGGGCAAACGTCATTACGGGTTGACGCCGCAGGTTTTTTGAAACCCAACCAAACCCTCAACTCAACCACCCCATCGGTGCAACTACCCAGTAGGTGTTAACCCTAAACCCTAAACCCTAAACCCTAAACCCCCGTATCGGGCACCCCGAAATACAAACGGCCCGTGTCGCATCAGGAACCCAAAACGGAGCCATGACTCGGGGTTGGCGCTAGAAACCTTTTGCGGAATATTCTCAGAAATATCCTTAAACTTAACCCTTAATCCGAAACCCCAAGCCCCAAACCCTAAACCCTAAACCCCAAACCCTAAACCCTAAACCCTAAACCCCAAACCCTAAACCCTAAACCCTAAACCCGACCAAGTAAATTACTCTGAACTCGACCCTGAACTGCCCGCCTTGTCTCGGCTCCCTCGAAGGTGATGGGCTTCCCCGACAACAGTGGGAATCATGGCTTTTGGGCTTCGGATTTTGGGTTTAGGGTTTAGGGTTTAGGGTTTAGGGTTTAGGGTTTAGGGTTTAGGGTTTAGGGTGGAGGGTTTAGGGTTTAGGGTTTAGGGTTTAGGGTTTAGGGTTTAGGCTTTAGGGTTTAGGGTTTAGGGTTTAGGGTTTAGGGTTTAGGGTTTAGTGGTTAGGGTTTAGGGTTTAGGGTTTAGGGTTTAGGGTTTAGGGTTTAGGGTTTAGGGTTTAGGGTTTAGGGTTTAGGGTTTAGGGTTTAGGGTTTAGGGTTTAGGGTTTAGGGTTTAGGGTTTAGGGTTTAGGGTTTAGGGTTTAGGGTTTAGTGTTTAGGGTTTAGTTTAGGCCGTAGGGCTTAGGGCCTCGGGCTTAACACCTAGACTTGGGGTTTAGTGCTGGCTGGTCTGCCACCGGTTAAGAGCTTGAGATTTTGAGGGGGCCCTAAACCCTAAACCCTAAACCCTAAACCCTAAACCCTAAACCCTAAACCCTAAACCCAACCCTAAACCCTAAACCCAAAACCCTCACCCCAACAGAGGGGGGGGGGGGTCTTCTGAGTGGTGTACCCTGTGAGGGTCTCTAATGCACGAGCCAAAAGACAAAAGAGCCCGTTTAGGGTTCAGGGTTTAGGGTTTGGTGTTTAGGCTTAGGGTTTCGGGTCGAGGTACTCTGAACCTGCCTTGCAGCCCCTAAACACCCACACAAATGTTTAGGGCTTGTAGAAACCCCAAACCCTAAACCTTTCTAGGCTCAGGACTACGTTCGGCTTCACAGTTCTGGTCCACAAGAAAGCTACAAACGAATGGTTTAGGGTTTAGGGTTTGGGGTTTGGGGTTTGGGGTTTGGGGTTTGGGGTTTGGGGTTTGGGGTTTGGGGTTTGGGGTTTGAGGTTTGAGGTTTGAGGTTTCAGGCGTTTGGGTTTAGGGTTTAGGGCTTAGGTGTCTTTTGGTTTGGGGTTCGCGGTTTCTTTGCCTACTGGCCCCCCTGCTAGGCCGCTTAGCCTCAACGTCCCGCGAAAAGCGAAAAGCCTCAAACCTAAAACACAAACCTCCGCTAAACCCTAAGCGCACCGTGATGCTTTTTGTCTAACACCTTTGTTGCTTTCACATGCACCCTACACCCTAAGTCAGCCCTAAGAAGCAAAAAAAGGCTAAACCCGGACAGTCCTAAGCCCTGAAACCCCAAACCACCCCTCAATCTGAAACCCTAACCCCTTAACCCAGACACTCCGATAGCCTCAAACCCTAAACCCTACAGCCCAAACAATAAACCGCAAACCCTAAACCCCAAACCCCAAACCCCAAACCCCCCGAACCCCAAACCCAAAATTCCCACCCAGGCCTTGAGCGTGAGCTGCACTTCCAGTGCCGGTGCAGTACCCTGCTTGGGGTAACCCTTCTCCCTTCCTGACCTGGCTCCTGGACCCCCCCTGACCGGGTCACCTGCCCCCCCCCTGGCCCTGGCGCCTGCCTTCACGACTGTAATCCTGGAAGCCCACCCTAAAAGGAGAAAAGTTGGGTGGATGCCTGCGTAAGCAGGGGGTGGGAAAAATAAAACAACCCAACCTTGTGGTTGTGGTGGCTCCAGATTCAATATACGCCGCCGCGACATATGCCGCCCCCTCACACCCCCTGGGTGTGTTGGGGCGCCATCTCCGCATGAAATCTACTGCCGCGGCGCGGCGAGAAGCCCTAAACCCTAAACCCTAAACCCTAAACCCTAAACCCTAAACAACCCTAAACCCTAAACCCTAAACCCTAAACCCTAAACCGAAGAGCCGCACAGACACTCCCCCAAGCCACAGGCCACGAGAGCCACTCGCGCCGTAGCGCCGGCCACCCCTTCTCGGCAACCTCTCTGCAACGGTTCAGGGTTTAGGGTTTAGGGTTTAGGGTTTAGGGTTTAGGGTTTAGGGTTTAGGGTTTAGGGTTTAGGGTTTGGGGTTTGGGGTTTAGGGCTTAGGGTTTAGGGTTTAGGGTTTAGGGTGAGCTTCGGTTACGAAGTGGAGGGGCTTAGGGTTTGGCCCTTGATGAGCTCGGCTTTAGTGGACTAGCCCTTGATGAGCTCGGCTTTAGTGGACTAGAACACAGCAGACCGGCTGTAGGGTTCAGGATAAATAGGCACTCCAGAACGCCCGAGGTGTTGGAGGGTTTAGGGCGTACCCTAAACTCTCAACCCAGGACTCGGATTTGTGAGGCTTCTGAGCATCTCGCATGTCACTATAGCCTTGAGCCCTGAGAGCTTTCGGCATTTGGGCATTTCTAAACCCTAAATAACCCAAAACCCAAAACCCTGAAGACCTAAAACTCTCCGGCGCTCCCCGACGACGAAACTAAACCCTCAAGCCCGCGAAGGGCCTATAGGTTTTTTAGGGTTTAGGGTTTAGGGTTTAGGGTTTAGTGTTTATGGGTTCTTGGTCTCTGGGGTTTCGGGTTCAGGGCCTCTAGGGTGTTTGGGAGTTTTGGGGCTTACGGCATAAGCCCTTCAAACTTTAATCCGTTAGCCCTCAACACACCGACCAATGAAAAAGCATCCGCTCGTTCAGTTGAAATACAAAACAGCAGCAGACATAATGAACAGCAACAGTAACTAATTAAGCTAAACAATGGTTTAAGACGGCCTCATGCGAAACAAGTGTAGTCAAACCCTATCTATCCTACCAACCCCGCCCCCATACAACAACAAAAGATAACAACGGAAAAATCATGCGCCAATTCAGTACATCATAGTACGTCAGTTACCCTAAACCCGAAACCCTCAACAATAAACCCTAATCCCTAGTTTTTAGAAAATAGAATGAGTCTACAAGAAAGGAAAGAACGCCCCAAGACTGAAAGAGCCGGTGCCTCAGTAAGGTGCCCGCGTAATGCGAGGGCCGCCTCTGGGGGGCAGGGTTTAGGGTTTAGGGTTTAGGGTTTAGGGTTTAGGGTTTAGGGTTTAGGGTTTAGGGTTTAGGGTTTAGGGTGTAGGGTTTAGGGTTTAGGGTTTAGGGTTTCGGGTGTAGGGGCCCCTTGCGGTTTCCTTGTAGAATTTAGAAAGGTCCCTTTCCAACAAAACCGCAGGAAGGGACCCCAGACTAACACAAAACGAGCGCATCCCAAAGTGCCGCCAAAACCCAGGTTCGGGCGACATGAGCAGCCTGTTTCTTGCTAAGTCCGCAAATCCAGACTTCGTATGCCCTAAACCCTAAACCCTAAACTCTAGAAGGAATCGCCTCGGCGGAGGGAAGGGAAGGCGACTGGACCTGGCACTGAATTCAGGAATCAGGGTTTGGGGGCTTGGCGCTTGGGGGTTGGGGGATTTTAGGGTTGACTAGATCTGTGTTTCCGAAACTAGGGGTACCTTATTGGGGTCCTTATTGTAAGGCAATCTCACTATTTGGGCGTCTATGTTCGGAACTCGCCCGCCAGCCCCCCAGTCCCAATCCACTTGTAGCTGTACACCCTCAAAATCAGGGTTTCATGGTTAGGCAGAAGTATAGGGCTAGAAGTAGAGTAGCTATGGTCCTAGCCTTCTTCAGAGTGCTTCCCATGAACCTTCCAGTAGGGTCTAGGGGTCCTCTGTTTTGAGGATTGCAGGACAAAAGGTCGCCTATAGGGGCTCTGAGAAGGGGACCTACATTCAGAGCAACCTCTACATGATACACACCCTCACATCGTCCGCAACCCGGCATCCGAAACCTCTAAACCACCTCCCGCCCCATTCTGCGCCGGAAACCCCAAACCCGAAACCCTAAACCCCCAAACCCTAAACCCCGAAACCCACAAACCGCAAACCCCCCAAACCCCCAAACCCCAAACCCCTACCCACCCACCCCCCCCCATACAAAAAAAAAAAAAACGCAAAACATAAAACTCCTCGGAACGCTTCGGGGCCTTCTTGCCGACCCAAGGCCGCAAGTCCAGCACGACACGGAAGCTGAGGCCCAAGTCGCCAGCTCCTTTGGTGAGTTTTGGGGGGTTGGAAAGTAGGGGTTTAGGGTTTAGGGTTTAGGGTTTAGGGTTTAGGGTTTAGGGTTTAGGGTTTCGGGTTTCGGGTTTCGGGTGTCCGGTTTCCTTTCCTTAGGGACTTAGGGGTGGGTGGGCTTGTTGGGGAGCCTCTGCTTCGGGTTTAGGGTTTAGGGGTTCAGGGTCTGGTTCAGGGTGTGGGGTTCAGGGTCTGGTTTAGGGTTTAGGGTTTGGGGTTTAGGGTTTAGGGTTTAGGGTTTAGGGTTTAGGGTTTAGGGTTTAGGGTTTAGGGTTTAGGGTTTAGGGTTTAGGGTTTATTAGGGTTCCGAGTTCCTGGTTTAGGGTGCAGGGTTTTCGGGGTTTAGGGTTTCTGGCTTAG